CCCCCAACCCAAGGGCCTGGCATGGTGGTTGGAGATGAGTTAAAGATTCCTATTCGTTCCTGGCATGATATTGAGAAAGATAACACCCGTTTCATGAAAAAGGCAACCAAGGTAGGTATTCTTGGATACAGGCTGTAATTGTGGTAAACTGGAGTGAGAGCTGCTTTGCTGAGGCCATGCATCATGGTCAGCAAGATGCTCTTGCTGAGATGATCATCCAAATCTTGGCTGCTGTTAAATTACTGCCCCTACTTTCAGACCTTAGAGTTAGAGTGGGTGGCTTTAAAACTGCTCAGAGTGTTTTGATATTGAAAACTATTTTTATTTGATTTGGATGATTTTAAGAAAATGATTTCTGTATTCTTATGTTTGATTACATCCTTTGGTACATTAAGGCATACCTTGGGAATAATGTTACTTTTTCCTGAAGGTAGTTTTCCTCTCTTCACAGCACTATGAGATGCTTGCTAATCGAGCTGCTGCAAATGGTCACTGCATTGATATTTATGCTTGTGCTCTTGATCAAACTGGACTTTTGGAGATGAAGTGTTGTACAAATCTTACTGGGTATGTTGACAGTGAACACTTGGGAAAAGTGAGCATGTTATGTTAAGGAAAGGGAAATGAGTGGCAGAGCCATAGGGATGAGCAAGGACAATTTAGAGAAATTTTCAGGTAGCTCTGGGCTGTGGTTTCAGTGGCTAGGGAGGGGTGTGGGCCCCTTGGAGCAAGAAGCAGTGATTAGCAGGAGGTCCCAAGGGTTCACTATGAAGAAGTCATATTAATAACTTCATTTCTTCCTTAGAGTTGTTAGACTTGTTACGGAGACCAGGTCAGGAAAGCAAGCAAGCATGGAGTATCTGGCCTTTAGCAGGGCACTTCCTTGTGAGAAGGGAGGAAAATAGGGTCTGAATGCTGGAGCAATTAGGGGAAATTTGACCTGGCTATGTGACTACACTTTGTGAATACCTAGTGCACGCTCAGCCTAGAGGGTGTGCTACAAGATACACTGACTTAGAGCCCAAGTTAGTATTGTATTCACAGGTCGGAGTGCAGAGCAGTGGTTCTCAGTGTGCAGTAGTGCCTGGGCCAGCAACCTTGGAGGCTCGTGGGAACTGGTTAGGCATGTACATTCTTGGGCCTCACCCTAGATCTCCTGAATCAGAAACTGGGGAAGCAGCTTTCCAGGAGATTCTGGTGCACATAAAAGTATAAGAACCACTGATGTGGAACACTTGTCTGAAGCCATGTTGGAATCACCAGGGGAGCTTTAAAAACTACTCTTGCTTTGGGTCTCGTCCCCAGAGATTGTGATTTAATTACCATGGGGTATGGTCTGGGCATTAGCATTTTTTTTTTTTTTTTGTCTTTTTTCCGTGTCCGGCAACGGATCGCAACCCTCAGTGTTGTCCCCGTACCGGACCGGGGACCGGCAACGGGATTGCAACCCTCGGTGTTGCTCCCGCGCCTCGCTCAGCCAGTGAGCGGGAACCGGTCTGTATGTGGGATCCGAACCCTCGGGCGGGAGCGCCGCCGCGCTTCCCAAGCGGCGTGCCACCGGGCCGGCCCTGGGCATTAGCATTTTTAACGTTCTTCCAGTGATTCTAACATGGAACAGAGTTTGAGAACCATGCAACGTCTTGAGCCTCACTCTTGACCTACTGAATCAAACTCATATTTGAACAAGATCCCCGGTGATTTGATGCACAGAAGAATTAGAGAAGCCCTGGTGTAGAGCTGTGAGGTGGGCCTGGGATTCTGCATTTCTAAGAAGCTCCAGGTGATGCTGGTCCTCACTGAGTCAAGGGATAGAGGGTAGAACCCGAGTCACATGCAGCTGTCCTGGAGGGTAACAGATGTGTTAGAAATTATTATTATTATTTTTTTTTTTTAAAGATGACCGGTAAGGGGATCTTAACCCTTGACTTGGTGTTGTCAGCACCATGCTCAGCCATTGAGCAAACCGGCCATCCCTATATGGGATCCGAACCCGGGGCCTTGGTGTTATCAGCACTGCACTCTCTCGAGTGAGCCACAGGCCGGCCCAGATGTGTTAGAAATTAAATGACACTGATAGAGCTGTATCAGTTAGCTACATTTAATAAGGTGAACTCTTACCAAGGCCCTCTGGGAGTTCCTGACGTGCTGCACCCACAGGCGAACTTTAGTGTATTTGTGAACATCTCTGAGATTGTATATTTTTTCTGTGGAGAGATGCCATAGCTTTCATTAGATTCTTGCTGAGGTCTTTGACTCTAAAAAGCTTAGCATTCAGGTCAGATCACCTATTGTACAAATGCGTTAGTAATGACATTTTTAAAAAAAGATTTAGAGGTTCTAATTGATAGCTCAAGGTGAACCAGCAGTTTGGGATGATTTTCAGCAATGGCAAGGTGATCCTAGGCTATGGTATAGGAGATTATCTTCAAGGAAGATCATAGTCTTGGCTTCCTTGGTGCTAGCCACAATTTATCCACATTATGTCAGTTTCCTTTGAGCATTTCAATTTAAAGGGGCTATATAGAGGAACTGGAGATGTTCAAAGGGGAGCAGAGGAAGAATGGCTGAAGGAGCTGGAGAAGATTTAGCTGAAGACAGATGCGGGCATGAGAACAGTATTCAACAGTTGAAGGACTGTTTTGTGGAGAAGAAATCAGATTTGTTCTGTATGTGACCAAAGGGTAGAATTAGAACCAGTGGGTGGAAGCTTCTGGGAAATGGAATTTCACTCAGTATAAAGATCTTAACAGTCAGAGCTGTCCAAATGTGGAATAATGGGGTGTGTTGTAGAGGGGCGAGTATGAATTAGGATTAGGTTTGTGTGAGTGTGACAGAAAACCCAAAACAAACTTATTTCTCTTTTGGTGATAGGCAGCACAGGGCTGGTATATTGATCTCATCATCACTGGGGGCTGAGGCTCCTACCTAGCTGCTTTACCACCCTTAATATGCAGTCTGTAGTTCGGGATGGTTGTTGGAGCTCGAGCCACAGCAGCAGGAAGGAGGGAAGGTCAAAGAAGGATATGCCTCTTCTTTAAGAACACACCCCACATGTCATAGAGGGCACTGCAACATGTGTGAGTCACATGGCCACACACAAGGCAGGCTGGGAAACGTCATCTTTATTCCAGGCAGCCATGGAACACGTAACTAAGGAAGAGGTGGACAGTGGATATTTGGGGCCAAATAGCTGACCCCTTGCTGAAGGGTTCAGACACTCAAAGGTAGTTATACCATCTTTCTCGTGTTCTTCCAAGTTCTGAGATCCTGAATGCATGACACACATCAAGCTGTGTGCTTCTCTGCCCAAATACATGAAGTGTTGAAACTGTGAACAGTGTTTTCCTCTAACTTCAATAAAGGATGAATATCAATATTTATAAATTAGAAAAAATTATTCTTGTGAAGTCAAATACTCATTGTTTTGAGGCAGTGAGTTAACTTGAAAAGGATTTCCCACAGCCTAGGTATTTTTTCATACCAAAGAAGTATGAGAAGAGTTGGAGATAGGTTCTCTCAATAGATATCCAATTTAAACTAGTGGGCTTATTGATTGAAGGGTTCTTTCTTTTTTTCTTTCTTTTAACTTTCTATTTTGAAATAATTGCTGATTTACAAGAGATTATAAATGTGATGGGAGTACAGAGAGGTCCCTCTATACTTTTTTTTTTGAAAAATAATTGATAATATATATTGGTAGGGTACATACAAAATGTGGTGATCAAATCAGGATAATTAGTATACTCATTTTTACAAAATCCAGTCAGTCTTTGTGATCCTTAACTAATTTCTCACTAACCCCCTCCCCTTCTCCCACCTCTAATAACCATAGTTCTGTTCTTTTTTTTTTTTTTTTTTTTTAAAGTTCCCTTTTTTTGGGTAATTTTTTTTTTTTTTTTTTTTTTTTTGAAAGTTCACTTTTTTTGTGTATTTTTTTCTCTTTTTTTTTTTTTTTTTTTTTTAAAGTTCCCTTTTTTTGGGTAATTTTTTTTTTTTTTTTTTTTTTTTTGAAAGTTCACTTTTTTTGTGTATTTTTTTCTCTTTTTTTTTTTTTTTTTTTTTTAAAGTTCCCTTTTTTTGGGTAATTTTTTTTTTTTTTTTTTTTTTTTTGAAAGTTCACTATATTAGTGTAATTCTTTCTCTCTTTCTTTTCTTTTCTTTCTTTCAGCTCCCACTTATGAGTGAGGGCATGTGGTATTTCTCTTTCTGTGCCTGGCTTATTTCACTTAACATAATTTTCTCTTAAGTTCATCCATGTTGCTGCAAATGCCAGAATTTCATTCCTTTTTATGGCAGAGTAGTTTTCTTTTTTTTTTTTGTGACCGGCCGCACCGCACTCAGCCAGTGAGCGCACCGGCCATGCCTATATAGGATCCAAACCCGTGGCGGGAGTGCCACTGTGCACCCAAGCGCTGCACTCTCCCGAGTGCGCCTCGGGCCGGCCCAGAGTAGTTTTCCATTGAGTATATATACCACATTTTCCTTACCCAGTCAAGGAAATCATCAGGTTAAAGGGATACCTGTACTCCCATGTTTATTGGAGCTCTATTTATAATAGCCTCTATACTCTTCATCTAGCATCTCCCAATGTTCACATCTTACGTAAATACAGTATAATGTCAACACCAGGAAATTGACACTGGCATGATACCATTAACTATACTACAGACCTTACTAGGGTTTACCTAGTTTTCACGTGCTCTCATTTTTTCTTTTGTATGTTTGTATGTATAGTTCTATGGAATTTTATCATCTCTTTAGATTTGTATGGCAACCACAGTAATAAAAATATAGAACTGTTCTTAAGCATTCTGTTTTATGTTTTAGAAATAGTTTCTTTCGTAAGTATAAATTAAACTTGCTGTTTTCTGTTTAAGTTAGTTGTACCTTTATAGGCATGGTTGTTTTTTCTTTAAATTATTGTTTATAAATAGTGAAAAGCGTTGAAAGGCTTTTGGTTATCCTAACGTTCACTTTCTTTTTTCTTTTTTCTTATCTAGAGGGTACATGGTTATGGGAGATTCTTTCAACACTTCTCTGTTCAAACAGACATTCCAAAGAATTTTTAGTAAAGACTTTCATGGGGATTTCCAAATGGCATTTGGTGCTGCTTTGGAAGTAAAGGTACGATAGACTTTTAAGATTTTAATGGAATTACAGTGTTCTTCTTCAGTAGTCAGAATCCTGCAACCTCAGCCTGTTGGACACAGGCATCTGAGGGCCAAATAAAAGGATCCCAAGAAAAGGCTATCACAAAGTATATTATTCACTTTATCCCTTTGCTTCTCGAAGATGACCTGTGTATTTGTTAATGTTCTGTACAAAGAGTTGACTGGTTCCCCTGCAAGGCTATGCTCCGCCCTGCTTTAGGACAGCAGGAGTTAGAAGGGGTGATGGGTGGGTGTTAGGAGCAGCACTGTGGCTTGAAGACAGAGGCAACCACACAGTGGTCTGTGTCCACCCAGCCATCAGGGTGGCATAGAGCTGTGGTTTATATTTAGTGTCTCCCTGAAGAACAGCCAGAGTGCTTTAACATAGATAGCATTGTGAGTTTAGATTTGTTTTTCTGTGTAGAGATTTATGAGCCCCATACAGTTGATTCTAAGTCATTGAGAAAACATTAAAAGGAACTGTTAGAAAATATTGGAATTACTACTTGTAGAATTTGAGATAATTGTTAAATCATCTAGGTTAAACTTTAAACAGCATTCTCAGATGCCTGAGATTTTATTTTTTTAAAGATGAAGAGGAAGGGACTTTGTTGAAATGAATCAGATTTAAAAATGTAAGTAACAACAGCTGGCCAGTTAGCTGGTTAGAGCACTGTGTTATAACATCAGCATCAAGGGTTTGGATCCCTGTACCAGCTAGCTGCCAAAAAACCCAAAACAAAACAAAAATACTTAATTCATGAGCTCCAGCATAATGACAGAGCCAACATACGTAGATTTTTTTTTTTTTTTTAAGGTGGCTGGCCAGTATAGGGATCCAAACCCTTGACCTTGGTGTTATAACACCATGCTCCAACCAACTGAGCTAACTGGCCAGCCTGAATTAAGTTTTTTTTTTTTTTTTTGTCTTTTGTCTTTTTTTCCGTGTCCGGCAACGGATCGCAACCCTCAGTGTTGCCCCCGTACCGGACCGGGGACCGGCAACGGGATCGCAAGCCTCGGTGTTGCTCCCGTGCCTCGCTCAGCCAGTGAGCGGGAGCCGGTCCGTATGTGGGATCCGAACCCTCGGACGGGAGCGCCGCCGCGCTTCCCAAGCAGCGCACTATCCAGTGCGCCACCGGGCCGGCCCCTGAATTAAGTTTTTTTAAAGCAACACTGAACAGTATGTTCACTGATTAGTAATATGTAAATAATTATGAATGTATGTGGGATGGGAAAAGAATGTAATATTGTTGGCAGAATTGTTATCTTCTATGTGTACAATATTTTAAAGTTTGAAAAGTGAGTTGAGAGAGTTGAAAATGGAGCAAAGATAGCGCAGTTTCTAAAGGTAGATTTTGTTAAAGTTTTAATCAGCTCACATTGGCCCTGGAAAATCTTGTAGGAGAGCAATTGTATACTGTAATCCATGTGGAATTTTCTTTACAGAGTGATAACACTGTCATATTTTTCCTCTAAGCTTTCATGTAGCCATCATGATAGCAGGGTGGATCTCAGTGATTTTTAACTTTATACTGTTATGTAATTTGTTTTAGACCTCTCGAGAACTGAAGATTGCAGGAGCCATTGGTCCATGTGTATCTCTGAAAGTGAAAGGACCGTGTGTGTCAGAAAACGTAAGGCAAACTCCTCCAGCACCCTCACCCTCTGCCCTGGCTTTAATCCATTAGAAGTGTTGGAACATGTGACACAATCTTGCATTGTGTCACCTGTCGGGTGTGTGTGTGGTGAGGGGAGAAGCACCAACCCTCCCTGAGGACTACAACTCTGAGAGGTAGTGTTATTTCCATCTGTCCATTCATCTGTCTAAAGGGTCAGTGAAGGAAACAGAGACTCAGAGAGGTTAAGTATTTTGCTCAGATTCATAGCTGACGTAGAGGAGCTAAAGCCCAGGTCTCCTGATTCCACCACCCACACTTGGGTCTCTGTGCCAAAGAGCCACAGGCATTCTGTTCAGCACAAGGCAAGCATTCAGTAAAATCCTTCAGGAATAAATCTATGTGCTCATTGCCCTTAGAAGTGATACCTTTGTTTCGTTCTCAGCTAATAATGATCCTCATACAACAGAGACCACCATGAGTTGGTTGGGCAGCGGATGAGGCTGTTGTATATGCAAACATCTGGGTTCTCTAGTAACAAATCTTGAGTGTGTGTGAGCAGTTTGGTTATTACTGGGGATGAGTGGCTTTGATGATGGCCCACTTCCTCTGATTGTACTTTACTTGCCAATAAGCAAACCATTTGGTCTGGTGGGCCTCTCCAGGCAGTCCTGGCAAAGGTCTACGCTTGCCTTGCCTGGCCAAGGTACGTAATCTCCCAGTGATTCAATGCCTTCATCTGGCAAATGGGGATAATATCAGTACCTACTTTACCGCATTGTTGGGAGGATTAAATGAGTTAGTCACGTGAAACAGGACAATGCCTGGGCACACTGGAAGCCCACAGATATCAGCTTTCACGTCATCATCATTTGTCTTCATCAGCAACAAACATTCCTGAGTGACTATATAAATTAAACTTTTGTCAAGCATGGCAGAGGCAGGCAATTTGAGAGAACATTCCTGTGGTCCCCTGGGAGAAGCAAGTCACTTTGCAAAAGTCCACCTGATGAGTTCACTCATTACACCGGAGGGCTAAGGGGCTTGTAGCCCTATTTTCTGGCAGGGCTTAGGAAGGCTGCCCTGTTGCGGTTATTTTCCAAACTTAAAATCTGCCTGATGAAGCCTACCTGAAGTAGTTTAAGAGGATATTTTTATGAATTAGCACAAACTGATTTTTTTTTTTTAAAGATGACCGGTAAGGGGATCTTAACCCTTGACTTGGTGTTGTCAGCACCACGCTCACCCAGTGAGCAAACCTGCCATCCCTATATGGGATCCGAACCTGTGGCCTTGGTGTTATCAGCACCACACTCTCCCGAGTGAGCCACAGGCCGGCCCAGCACAAACTGATTGATGGGCTGTTCCAGTAGAGTTTGGCCAGGAAAGTTTTGGTTGGGGGATGAGGATGCAAAGAGGAGGAAAATGCAATTTTCACACATACAGAGAAGTTTAAGAGGAGTGTAATGAATTCCTGTGTACCACCATTTAGAGTCAGAGTCACACAATTGTTAACATTTTGCCGTAATTGCTTCATCATCATTTTTTTTTTTTTGGCCACATTTGCTTTATCTGATTGTCATCTATTTGCCATAGTTGCTTTAGAACCTTTGAAAATAATTTGTAGACAATATGACATCTAGTCCTTAAAAACTTCAATATACACTGCTAAAAATAAGGATATTCTCCTACCATGATATCATTATCAAACCTAAGAAAATTAACAACAATTTCCTAATGTCATATCTAGTCCATGTTCTTTCTCTAATTTACCCCAAAATGCCCTTTGTAGCTATTTTTTTCCCCCAGCAGCATTTCATTTGTTATTATATATATCCTTAGTTTTTTAAAATCTAGAATAGTCCTCTCTTTTTGTTCATTTATGTTTTTTGCTTTAAAATAAAAGAAGAAAGACATTGAAGAAAAAAAGACGACATTGATTTGTCAAAGAGACAGTGCCTGGTGTCTTCTCCCGTAGAATATCCCACATTCTCCATGTGTCTAATCCTTTCCTCACAGTGGTGTTTAGCTTGTTCCTTTCCTCCCTGTATCGTAAAGCAGAAGTTAGGTCTAAAGGTATGATATGCATGGTGGGGGAAACCTTGTCAAGCATACTTCCCGGGTGATGTGAGTTTCATGCTGTGTTACATCTGGAGGTGCTTATGTCCACTCATCCCATGTTAGTGGTGCTGAGTTAGATCCTGTGGTGAAGGTGGTAATTGCCCTGCACCTTTCCACTGTAAGGGTACATTTCCTCTTTGCTTGAAATCTGTTGAAAGAGATTGTAGCACATTATGAAAATCTTGTTTACCAACAGCCTAATGATTTTTAGCATTCACTGATTATTCTCACTTGAATCAGTTTATTTCATTGGAGAATTATAAATTGGTGATTTCCTAATTTTGTTTTTGGCAACTGGCTGGTAAGGGGATCTGAACCTTTGACCTTGATGTTATCAGCACCATGCTCTACCAAGTGAGCTACCCAGCCAGCTTCTAATTCTGTCTTTACTCTTCTTCCAATAAAGGCATTTATAGGGTAGATGCTTAAGGAAGGAATTTGTGTATTAGTGAGAAAATTGTTTTGGGGCTCTGGAGGGTTGTGGCTACTCTGGGCCTGATGCCTAGAAAAGGGGTTAGTAAGGCAAGAAGGGGAGGCATACAAGCTCATTTGACTTCTTTGCCATTTTTCTTGGGTGTAGCCCTTCACTTTCCAGCAGTTGTTAAACATCTGCTTCTTTTAGTAAAGGCCACTAAAAGGGAAGGTGGACACCCCAAAATCAATCCATCTTACAATCATGCTTAGGAAGTACGACGAAGCAGTGTGTGCCCTCTCTGCTGTACACTTTAGAGCTACTGTGTGATTTCACTTAAGAATCTTCCCATTCTCTTCCCACTCCATCACATTCCTGGGATTGCTGGTTCTGCGGCCAGGGTATGTAGGCTCCTGGCATGGCTTGGTGGAGAGACCAGACTGGCATCAGCTATACTCGGCTGATGGTGTGCGGAGTGGGTGCATTTGGAGTAATATACTCATAAAAAAAATTTCATGATTCTCTTAGTGTACAGTCACATTTGATGATGTAGTACTCAGCACCTCTAGAATGACAGAATGTATGTTTCAGAGTCTAGTGATCTCAGTTGGTGATTTTAGGTATTTTTGACATTTGTTGTCTTTTCTGCTAGATGTCATGACTGAAACTGATACTTTGGTTCACATTTTAGTGAACTTAATATTCATCACTGGAAGCCATTCAACTAGTCAGTAAAAAGCAGCCTTCATATCACTACAATTTCCTTAGTTCTTTTAGAATTTATATGTAGCTTTTGCATAGAAGAATCAGATTAGAAATTAATATTTTATAGCGAATGTTCTCCAGTTCTTTATTTCTTGTTCTAATAATGATGTTTAAAGAAGTGCATCAAACTTTCAAGCTAAGTAGATAATTTTTTCTCCTATTTACTTCTTCCTCAATGCTAACTTGATTCTTGTTGGCTTCAGTGTTATGTATCATATATAGTTTTTCCTTGAATTGGTTCCAGGACTGTCTGAGGATACCAAAATCCGTGGATGCTCAAATCCCTTCCAAATGGTGCAGTATTTGCATGTAACTTATGCACATCCTCCTGTATACTTTAAATCATCTCTAGATTACTTATAATACTTAATACAATGTAAATGCTATGTGAATAGTTGTTATACTGTATTTTTAAAAAATTGTATTATCTTTTATTTTTGTATTATTTTTTATTTTTTTCAAATATTTTTGATTGGTGGTTGGTTCAATCCATGGATGCACAAACTGCAGATACAGAGGGCTGACATATATACAATATATATGATGTCATGAAAATTGGTCAGAGTGCCAGTGTAAAAAGCTTAAAAGTACTGTAGGGCTGGCTGATTGTTTAGAGCATGGTGCTGATAACAGCGAGGTCCAGGGCTCAATCCCTGTACCAGCCAGCCACCAAAAAATAAAAATAGAACAAAATTATAATAAAGTACTATTAATGTAAATGTTAAGCTGCCTTCTGGTCTGTAATTGTACTTTTTTTAGTAAAGTATTTTCAATTAAATTTTCAACTAGAAGAAAATATTCTAAGTGGACTGCCCTACTCATTCAGTACTTTTCATTAGCAGTTAACCACAGGGGTGGGTTTTTTGTTGTTGTTCTTTTAATTCCTCTTCTCACCCATAGGAGCTTGGTATCGGTGGCACAAGTCAGTGGAAAATCTGTGGCCTGGATCCCACGTCTACACTTGGCGTCTACTTTGAAGTAGTCAATCAGGTGAACCTGATTTCTTTATGTGTTTTCATGCCTTAGTGTCCTGTTTTCTGATTTATTATACACCAGTGGTCTCTGGTTACTTTCTCCACAAATCGACACTACTTGGGTATTGGATTAGGTCTGATGCTGGTCTGGTATGGTTTTTTTTTTTTTTTTTTTTTTTTTTCTTTAGTTCTCCTGGAGTTTAGTTAGAGTCAGACAGCAAATTGCTTTTGTCACTTTATTGTTGAACTAATAGGGTCATTAGAATAATGATGGCTTTTCCAGCCATTGTAATGTTGGTGAATTTTTAAGTGTATCAGTTCTTTCCCCAGTATTTTATCATGAAAAATTGCAAACATACAGGAAAATTGTAAGAATTGTACAGTGAACACCTATATACCCACCACCTAGATTCTATAATTAACATTTTACTATATTTGCTTTTTATGTATCTATTGACCCATCAATCCATCTTATTTTTGATGCATTTCAGAACAAATATGAGTCATCAGTGTGTTTGATCCCTAAATACTTCAGCATGCATATCATTAAGTTGAGTTCAGGATTAAATGTGGTTTTTCTTTTTTTGAGGTAAAAGTTATATAGTGAGGGCCGGCCCGGTGGCGCACTGCTACAGTGCGCCGCTTGGGAAGCGCGGCGGCGCTCCCGCTGAGGGTTCGGATCCCACATACAGACCGGTTCCCGCTCACTGGCTGAGCGAGGCGTAGGAGCAACACCGAGGGTTGCGATCCCGTTGCCGGTCCCGGTACGGTACGGGCGCGACACTGAGGGTTGCGGTCCGTTGCCGGACATGAAAAAAGACAAAAAAAAAAAAGTTATATAGTGAAAGGTGCAGATCTTTTTTTTTTTAAAGATGACTGGTAAGGGGATCTTAACCCTTGACTTGGTGTTGTCAGCACCATGCTCTGAAGTGAGCCAACCGGCCAGGCCTACCTATATAGGGATCCGAACCTGCGGCCTTGGTGTTATCAGCACCACCCTCTCCCAAGTGAGCCCCGGGCCGTCCCTAAAGGTGCAGATCCTAAGTGTAGCATTCAAAGTGCATCAAGAACCTTACCATCACCACTGTGTTAGTGGCTTTAGAAGAGCACAGCAGGTTCTGTAACTGTGTTTGAGTCATGTCTGTAATAGTAATGAGGTGTGTGGCCTCTCATCCTACAGCACAATGCCCCAATCCCCCAAGGAGGCAGAGGTGCCATCCAGTTTGTCACACAGTATCAACACTCCAGCACCCAGAGACGCATCCGTGTGACCACCATTGCCCGAAAGTGAGCAGCCCCAGTTTCCTTTCTGTTGAGCCACTGACTGATGTTTTCCTGTGAATAGCTATTTTAACATGTATTAGTTTGTCTTTATTAGTTAATCTATTAGTTGTCCATTGTGTGGTTTTCTCCAGTCTTCACTGGCTTATTTGATAGGAGGTGGTATTTTGGGCTAACCCAGTTGGTCCTCTGAGCACTTACCTAGAGGAGTCATCTTTCAGTAGGAATATAGTTCATTAAAAATAATTTTTAATTTTATATGTTAGATAAGTAACCCATAAATACATCCTCCTTGTAAAAGATTCAAGCATACATAAGTATATATGGAATGGGTCTCTTCCTTCACGTTTCCAGGAGGAAGTTTAACTTCTCAATCCAATTTCTGTGAAGTTATATACCATGTGTGTTTATTATATGCATGTATGACAGCTTTATATATGTATCTCTATATTTGTGTCTGTCCATGTATGTCTTCAGTTTGCAGACCTATATCTTATTTATTGTATTGGCTGCATAGTATTGCATGGTTTGGATGGGTTATGCCAGTTCTCCGTTAAAGGACATTGTAGGTCCTGCTCCCAACAGTGCCACATTTCATATTTTTAGGTCTTTATGCCATGAATATTTCTTTCCCGCCACTTCATAGAAGTGAAATTTTGGATACTGCAAAACTACTCTTCTAAGAAACTAATTTTATTCTCCCCAGTAGTGTAAGGAGAGTGCCTTGTCTCCTCATTAACAGTGGATACTGTCAATCTTTAAAATGCAAATGAAGAGCAATATTATCACTTTCATTTGTACTTTCCCCTTTATCAATGAGTTGAGTAATTTTTTTGTGGCTGGCTGGTACGGGGATCCAAACACTTGAATTTGGTGTTTCAAGGCTGTGCTTTAACCAACTGAGCTAACTAGCCAGCCCTGAGTTGAGTACTTTATTGGCCATATGTATTTCTTCTGTGATAGCCTTTACCCATTTTGTAAAACCTATTTCTTTTTCTTGTTCACTGATTTGCAAAAACTTGTTATGTATTCTGATATGATTATTGTTACATTTGCTGCACATATCTCTTCCTAGTCTATCTGTTGTCTTTTAACTTTATTATGTAAACTTTTGTATATATGATAATTCTGTTTTCTATGGCTGTAATGCTGTGAATTCGTTTTATGAATTTGTAAACATTTAGATTTTTGTAAGATTGACCTAGGGGAAGGAACAGTGGATTGAGACTTAGTACCTTTTGGTCATTTACTTTCATGATGTCTTTGGAACATAGGGAAGTTCTCTTCTATAAGTATTGTTCTGAGCTTATAGCCTTTGGAAATTACATGAGAGTAACTGAAATGTATGTAAAACGCTTGTGATTCCTTTGTGAAAATGAATTCAAATCTGTCATCTAAGGCGAAGGAACAGGATATGCATATTTTTATCTAAGTGGTCTCTCCTGAACGAAATTGTGACACTAACTCTGGGATTGTCAGTTGGGCAGATGCACAGAGTCAGCTTAGGCATATAGAAGCAGCATTTGACCAGGAGGCCGCAGCAGTCTTGATGGCACGGCTGGGAGTGTTCCGAGCAGAGTCAGAGGAAGGGCCTGATGTGCTCCGGTGGCTGGACCGACAACTCATCCGACTGGTAAGTTGGGAACAATGGCATATTAGATTCAGTCTTGGTCTCTGCTCTACTTTTGAGAGAAGAAAATTGTCACTTAAATAAGAATTTATCAATTGCTTACCCTTAGTCAACCACTGGACATTCTGTGAGTGATATGAAAGAAGTGTTAAATATGCATTTTCCTTTCAAGGGCTTACATTATAGTTGGGAAGAAACAGCACACATGGAACCTTTGGGGGGTGATGTAAATCTGTGCATGTTAAGAGTTGAATTAGATGAGTCATTCATTCCTTGAATGCTGTGGTCTTATATTTCTCCTCCCGATCTGGGAGGTGGTTTTTGGAGATAGGGGTCCAGGCCCAGTGAGTTTCGGGAGGATAGTCATGAATCGTTCTGGGTCCAGTCAGGAGACAGAAATCACACAGTAATTTAAATAGGGAAAGTAATGTGGAAAGAATGACCACTATAGTAGGGGAGTAGAATAATGATGGAATGACTAGTAAGAATTAAAGAGATCTAGCAGATATAATAGGCAGCCACTATTTCTCGGGCTGAGATAGAACACCCAAGGAAGAACCCCTTTCCCCAGGACTGATCCAGACCTAGTTGGGAGGGCATGGCCATGGTGAGTCTTTCATAGCAGGGAAGTTGCCATGGTGCAGTGCCAGAGGAACTTGCTCGAAATTCACTCTCTAGAATTTGATGAAAGTCCACTCTCTGGGCGTGACAGGGTAAGGTGTTTACAGCAAAGCGACTCTCACCAGAGTCATGCGAGGGTGCTGGGCTAGCTGCTGGCTGCCATGTACTCCAGGAGCCCAGCACTGGGGAGCCACAGCACTGCAGGAATCTGGTGCTGGGGAAGCTGCCGAGTGAGCACACTGGTACCCAGAAGCTAACGCTCGCCTCCAGCACCCTCTACTGACAAAGAGAGCGTAGTTGAAGGGCCCACAGTCATTTCACAGCAGGCAAAAGGGTGAATTTGGAGTTGGGAGGCAGTAAATCTATAATTGGCACACTGTGTAACCTTGCCTTCTTGGAGATTCATAGCATATATTTGTGATCAAAAGCACTGAAAAGCCTAGTGAGGAAGCCTGTTTAACTTTGTTTAGCCCCACATTTGCCTTTGCCATCTCATGGAGCCATTTTTCAGGGAGTGTCAGCGTTTCAAACACAATTTAAATATTGCTCCTCTAGGATTTCAAAGGTGGGATAGGTGAGCAGAGGGTCCTAGTGGTTGGCAAAGACTTTATGTAGGCAGTGAGCCTTGAGGCAGGTCATCTTATAAAGAGTAGGATAACAGGAGAGGAGAAGGCAAGGCTTGCCAAGTGGTAGCCCAGCATGAAGAAGCCTGCAGGAGGTTGCCATGCCCTTCAGCTTATGCTGGGGACTTTGGAGAGACCGTTGTCACAGGAGGCCAGGTTGTGTGGTGGGGAACAGAGGAAGCAAAGGTACACCTTGATTGGAGAATGCCTTCAGGGCAAGAAGGAGCCTTATGTGTGTGATTCTTAAGCAGGAGTGTGTCAGTGGCATGACGCTTGAGTTTACATTTATCACCATATAATGTGAATTGTAGGGAGAAAAGGCTACTATTATAATGAATGATTTAGCAGGCTCAAGGGAGCTGACACCAGGGTAGTGGCAGTAGAAATGGAAGGAGCTGAAGGTTTGGAATCAGGATGTATGCCGAAAGAAGAATTGATTAAACTTGGTGAAATGACTGTATGTAGAATCAGAAACCAAAAAGTCAACATTGACTTGCGTTTCAAGTGTGAGTAACTGCAAGAATGGTGGTAAGGTAGAAAATAGGAAAGGAGAGCAACTGTAGAGTGAGAGAAGCTGAATTTTTTTTTTAAATGCTACAGTTTATTTTTGATAGGTTGAATGTGAACTTGCAAAAGTATGTCGAAGGAAAGATATTCTGTGGTTAGGTGAAGTCCCAACTGGAGCACAGGCCGGTGGTCAGCACTGGATGCTGGGAGATGGTTATGGATGACATCAGTCTTGCTTTAGTGTTCACTTGTAGCCGAAGCAGTGAGGTTAGGAGCAAGGGGTCAAGAACTAACCTCTGAGGAGTCCACAGTCCGGGGGAGGGAGGAAGACAAGGAGCCACTGAAGAAGACTGAGAAGGATTGGTTGGAGAGATGAGAAATAGGAAAGTAGTATTTTAGCAGCTGGAGGAGAAAGTTTCAGTGTTTGAAAAGTCACTTGGCTCATGCTGCTAGGAAGTTCAGCAAGAGGAGAACTGGGGAAGGACATCAGATTTGGTAGGAAGAAGGTAATTGTTAGAGATGGGTTTTCTTTAAATGGTGGATAGTCTCGTTCTCTAGAGGCTGGAGGAAATGTGTGATCAGAAAAACAGGCAGGAAGAGAAAACATTGTGCTTCAGCAATCTGCCATTGAAAGGGGGAAGAAAATTGCGTTATCATGTGAGAGAACATCAAGGCAAATCTATAGTTGTGAGTTTTCATGGTCTTAGAGGGTCTTAATATGGAACAGGCACCTGACAGAGCTTATCTAGCCCCTCTGTGGTCATGGTGGTCCTCAGGCCAGCATTGCCTGGGAGCTGGTTAGAGATGCACAATCTCTAGCTCCTTCCCAGAGTCTGCGTTTAAACAAAACCCCCTGGTGATTGTCTGCCCTTTGATGCTTGAGAAGTGCTGGTCTAGGACTCAGTAAGTGGCAGGGTTAAGATTGCAGGGCTGGCCATTTAGCTCAGTAGGTTAGAGCATGGTGCTAATAACACCAAGGGCCAGGGCTTGATCCTTGTACCAAAAAAAAAAAAAAAAAAAAAAAAACCAGCTCTTAGTCCAAGGACTTTTCCTTTACCAGGTGACACTAATTACATGTGTTTCTTGTTTGTCTGTTTGTTTGTTTTTCTTTCAACAGTGTCAGAAGTTTGGACAGTATAACAAAGAAGACCCCGCTTCTTTTAGGTTATCAGATTCCTTTTCTCTGTATCCTCAGGTAAGTTATATGTATTTTAAAAATAACTATAGAACAATAAATTGTGGTAGAAATAAATTTCTCTGTTCTCAGGGTTAAGTCAAGACTTTGTTTTGAGACTCAGTCTCTACATGACAGAGGTGGTTCAACTCCAAACAAATGTGTTTCTGTGCAAGACACTTCCCTAAGACAAAGGTGACACAGAGAGGAGAAAATAAGCGCATAAATGTTCATGAAAAAGCAAAGTAGGATTGTTGCTGTAGGGCCACCACAAAATCTCTAATTTGTAGAAGTTCGGAATGAACAATTAGCTACCTCAGCAGCAAACCAAGAAAATGAGCACACATGAAGAGGAATATAACACAACAAAACCACAGTTAGTATGACAAATATTTAATAATATGCCCTTGGTTTTTATGCTGTATCATAACTAGGAATCAGCAACAAGCAGGTCCTGAAAGTAAATATGCTGTGCATGACTCAGGCATTTGGGAGCCACTAGACAAAGGAGAGGAGGGACAGAAGTGGGTGGAGTGGGAAGCCACTGTCATGGATCTATGTTTCTTCCTTTTCTGAACCTCCAGCCTCATCTGTAAATGAGGAAATAGAGCTTAGCTCAGTGGGCAGCTGGGAGGATTACATGAGCTGAGGCCATTTAACTTTTAAATATTTAGCTCAGTGCCAGGCACCTGCTAAGCACTTTGTGAATGTGAGCCAGCTTGACAGCGGGGGCCTGGGGCCTTCAGGTGCCTGTGCCAAGAGGTTGAGGCCATGTGGTGTGTGAGAAGAGCCCTGGCCCAAGCAGTCAGGGCAGAGTTCCAGCACCAGCCTCGCTGCTGCTAATGAGGTCCTAAGCCCCTGTGGTTTTCAGTTTCCACATCTTCAGAAGGGAGGAGGTGGTCTAGAGAAGTGGTTTGCAGTTTTTTCACAGCCACGGAATCCTTTCTTTGGGAGGACCCTCCCTGAAAAGCCAGCATGTAAAGCAGACAGACTTGATTCTGCTCTGGTTGTGCCCATGGACCACCCACCCTTTGGCTCCCACCAGAGCCCTCCTCACCCAAGGCCCTAAGGATTCGCTAAGACTGTGAAGAGCACCAGATGAGGTGGTTTCTTCTGTCGAGTTATTCTAGGATAGAGGTTAAGAGCCCATCTGTGTAGCCAGGTGGCCTGGATTAAAGTCCAGCTCTGCCACTCAGTAGCAGAGGGACCTTGGGCAAGTTGCTTACCCCTCTGTGCCTCAGTTTCCTCACCTATAAACTAGGGATGGTAAGAGAACCCACCTCATGGGCTTATTGGAAGGTTTCAATAGTTCTTGTCAAGAGCTTTGTGCCTTGCACGTAGGATTTATTGAATGTCAGCCATGACCCTAGTCAGGTACTTAGTACTTAGAAACCTGTATTTCAATTATTTAGAGCCTCAGGAAGCTTATACATCTCAAGGCAGCTTATTTTCATGTTCGGGCAGCACTTTTGAGTGACCTAAAAGTTTGCCTTCTTCCCCACCTTCTTCTGATCTTCAGGGTAAAGACCATACTTCTCCAGTGTCATTCTTGTTCTTCTCTCCCCTGACCCCTCACTCCATCTTGTCAGCCTGTGCCCTGAGCTCTCATCTGCTGTTACTGTGCCTTGTGTGTTTCTTCAGCATTTCACCTCAGACCCCACAGCTTTGGGAAGTTTGGTGGCTCTCCACTCCCACCCCAGTAATTATGTCCTATCCTCTGGCTCCTGACTCAGACACTCAAGTGTGCCTTGTCCTCACTGGACCTGAGAGCACGTATTCTGTCTCCACAGCCCAGCCCAGTGACTGTGGCAATGAACGTTTCTTTGCCTTTTCCCTGTTGTGTAGAAGTTTTGACTTATCCAGAGGCCCCCTTTATTAATTGTGGTAAAAAATACATAACATAAATTTTACCATCTTAACCATTTTTAAGTGTACAGTTGACTAGTGTTAAGTATATTCACATTGTCTTGCAGTAGATCTCTAGAATTTTTCATTTTGCAGAGCTGAAACTCGGCACCCATTAAACAGTAACTTACTGTTTCCCTCCTCCCCCAGCTCCTGGCACCACCTCCTCTTTCTGTTTCTATGAACCCAGAGGTCTGGTTCTGCTGTTTCAGAGACCTGAGGTTGTTCTCTGGCCCAGGTCTGGCGGCCTGCCCCCTTTCAAAAGCAAACCACTCAAAAGTCAAATGTTGGTGAAAGTGGAAGTCAGCTTTTATTCAGGAACACTGGTGACCTGAGGAGAGATGTCGGGCTAACCCGTCTCTCCAGTAAACCTGAAAGGAGAATGGCCAGACTAAAGCCATCTCAAAGACTCAGATTTACCAATAGGTTTTTAAAGAGGGGGCTGAGGGAATGGAACATGGGAAATTAAAAGCAAGAAGGAAAGCAAGATGAGCCGTAGGGGCTCCGTGCAAGGAGCCAGGTGCAAGGTCTTGCCCATCCTTGCTGTTATCTCAGGACCCTGCTGGAGGGGTGGAGTCAGCGTAGCTTTATTGATGTCTTCCTTGGTTTCCCACAGTCTGGATAGTACGTGCAAGTCTGCAGCTCCAGGCTGGCTAGAAAACAATTTTATATACATGTAAATAATGTCATCTTGCCCCATAACTAAGTTCCAAAATATCAGATAACCATGGGAAAAGAGGGAACTCAGAGAAATGCATGCCACTGTGTCCTTTTAAAATCTTTTAGAGCCCATGTGATTTTAGGTCCCAACATGGCTTGAGTCCTCACTCCAACAAGATGGGTTGACTCTCTGGGTGTCAAAAAGCATATGCATTTATCTTTTTTTTTCCCTTGTAAATGCAGTTCATGTTCCATCTTAGAAGATCTCCGTTTCTTCAAGTGTTTAACAACAGTCCTGATGAGTCATCGTACTACAGACACCATTTTGCACGGCAGGATCTGACCCAGTCCCTCATCATGATCCAGCCCGTTCTCTACTCCTACTCTTTTCATGGGCCACCAGAGGTAAGGTTTTATGTGAATGCTTTTCTGAGAATTGGAATCACCTAATGTATATCATTTTTTCTAGCAAATTTACTCTTAGACCAGAAGAGTATAAGAAAAAAAAAACCAGAAAACTGTGTTTTTATAGTAATTTAACATTATCTCTGAATATTAAAAAATACCCATGGGAAAAAGTCAAAAGACATATAAAGCTATTATTTATGGAAGACAAGAATAAATGTAAAAAAGTTTAAAAAATAATATGGGTACGTTTTTTTAGTGTGTTTATGTACTTTGACCCTGTAATTCCATGTCTTATAATGTGTTTGAAGGAAATACTCCCAGACACAGAAAAATCTTTATCCAAAGAAGTAGTAAATTAGCTATTATCATAGAAAATTAAACAACAATCCAAATGTTCAATAATAGGAAAATAAATAACTAACCTAAGAAATATTCACAACATACATACTGGCTAGCCTCCTCCTCCCAAAAAAACCTCACAAAATTTATGTAACATAATAAAATAGATGAGTCCTTATATAAAAATGTTACATGAAAAAAATCAAAATAGAAACTTTTCTAAGTTATTTTTTTTAAGAAGCCTGTAAAAATAAAGAACTATATGGAAATAAACCAAAATATTAATATTTGTTCTTGGATACAAATTTTCAAATTTTATTTAATCAGTACAAGTTACTTTTATTATTAAAAAAACATAATAAAATATATTTTGTAGTACGCTTTAAAAACTTGTATTAAATGCAATTTTTCACATAGGCATCCCTGTCCTCTCTCATCTACAGCTGAGTAGATTTGAGAGAAAGTGTCTCTGGTCAAAGAAATACAATTCTAGTACAAAACAGAAAGTTTGGAATTATTTCTGGTTTCTGAATCAAAAGATATCATTAATCGTCCTTCTCAATTGATGAGGGATTATTTGGAGCCTGTTTTTTTATGTGAAGTTGAGATTAGAGCTGCTGAGTTGGGGAGCAGAAAGTGAGAAGTGGCCTGAAGAGGGGGAGAGCCACTGTACCGTTTGTCAATAGCCTCCTGCTGTGCTGTGACATCCAGGCTTGGGAGTGGAGTGGTCACCATGTGGGGAACATGGGAGGACCAATGCACTCTCTCTCCCCATCTTTCTTCAGCCAGTTCTCTTGGACAGCAGCAGCATTCTAGCTGACAGAATTTTGCTGATGGACACTTTCTTCCAAATTGTCATTTATCTTGGTGAGGTAAGGTGATGTTAATTTCTTTTCTTACTGTTGTTTTTGTTTTCTTATTTATTTATTTAGGTTTTTTATGGTAGTTGAAACAAGAATTTGCACTTAGAAAACCCACGGTTTAATAATATATTATTATAATACATATAATACATAATAAATACATGGCTTTTATTCTAGTGAAAAAAATCTTTTTTCAGGTCCCTGGAGTATTTGTATATTTAGTGATTTTAATAATATTTGCTGTAAGTAAATCTCAGGTGGTCCTTTTAAGTCACTGTAATTTATTACTTGCTGAGTTGTTAGGCAAGGCTAGTTTATTCTTTCTTAGTAAACTTTTTATACACACTATTGGCTGAAGAGCTGTTAGACTTAAGTTTGGGACTAAAGTTTTTTTTAAATGTATTTTTTAGGATTATTATTATTTTTTACATTCTAAGATGTTGCAGAGCAGTGGGAGGGGGAGGGAAATAGGGGGATGGGGGGGCAAGCTCTTTTGTTGGCCTGGTTGCAAGGTGTGGGGGATGTGGCTTAGGCCCTTGGGAGTGCCCCCACACCTGAGCCCTGCTTGAGAGCCCAGGGGGCTTTTGGCTCTTCTAGGTTTTATAGGTGTTCTTTGGTGGTGGTAGACCTTTACTGGTTAATATCAGAAGTTTGTCTCTGATCTGTGGATTTTTTGTGTTTTTTTTCACTTCTGTGTTGGATTATTAGCTACCCTCACCACTTAAACTCTGCACTGGAACTAATTTGTTGTCCTTTGCATACTTCTGTAATGGAGGAATTTCCTGTGGGGACCAGCACTTGAGCTGTGTGGTTGAGCTAAATTGCTGCTTTGCTGCTGATTCCCAGGGGAAGACTTTTTGTGTAGCTCAGATTTTAACTGTTGACCTCGTAAGCACTTCTGGGTCTTGTTAAGGTCTGGTATAACTGGGTTGTGTGGAAACTCTGGTCTGGGCCTGAGTCTTTTCAGCAAACTACACCCCTGCAGTTCTATATTCCTGACCAGTCTCCACTAGGTGGGCCTAGGTGTTGATCGGAGGGCAGATCAGCTATCCATGCTGTGCCCCAGTGTTCCCCTAGTGGGATGGACCATGTGCTGGTCCCTTGTGGTTGTCTGTGGCCCCTTGCTCCTATGTGGATCTACAGGAACATTGTCAGTGGTCTTGCTGGCCTAGGGACCACCAAGGTCTTCTTCCCTGCAGTCTCCAAGCAACTTCATACAAATAGCACAGCAGTGGTTTTTTTTTTTTTTTTCCTTTTTGTCTTTTTTCATGACCGGCAACGGATTGCAACCCTCAGTGTCGCGCCCGTACCGGCCCAGGACCGGCAACGGGATCGCAACCCTCGGTGTTGCTCCCTGCACCTCGCTCAGCCAGTGAGCGGGAACCGGTCTGTATGTGGGATCTGAACCCTCGGCGGGAGCGCTGCCGCGCTTCCCAAGCGGCGCACTGTAGCAGTGCGCCACCGGGCTGGCCCACAGCAGTGGTTTTTACCAGCTGTTTCTCCATGTGCTCACCAGAGCCAGTCTTGAAATGGCTATGCTCGAAATGGTCAGAGTGGTTCCTTCTTTCTCTCATTGCGGCTTCTGCCTTCATGAACTCCATTGGTCTCTCCTCCTCTTTCCCTGAGCTCTAGCGGCCCCAGCTTGGCAGTCTTTGCTTTTTAATAGTCGCAAATTGGTTGATTGTTGGAGAGAGTGATGCTGGGGATCGTTTGCTCTGCCATCTTGATTCTTTTCAGACTGGTTTTTCTTTGATGAAATAACGTGGCACAGGGAACATTACGATGGGTCTGTGGATCTCTAGGATGGCTGTGGATGGCTTTCAGGGGAGAATCCATTTCTTTCTCAAAGAGGTTTATGCCCTAAGAAAGGGAATAACTCTGAATTATTTGTATCTTTATGGGGGGAAATCCTTTAATCAAGCGTTATATTCCATGATGCTTTTTCTTCTATTGTACGTGCTTTACCTTTAGCAAATCGCTTTGGGTATTGATTTGGCTTCCTAGTGTCTGAACATTAGAAGTGATTTCAGATGTCCTGAAAATATATAAATTGTGTTTCAGAACTCCCTTAATGACTGAGGAAGTACTAGTTTTCTCATACTTACCAATATTTTATAGCTTTACACTTGCTTCACCATGTTAGCACCCTCTCTGCTAGCCGCCTGCCAACAGGTGCTAGGCTGTCAGTAGTGGTCCTGGGTCAAGGGCCATTGTGTGTCCAGCTGCTCTTCCCAGCCAGTGGCTTCTTTAGGAGCACTACTGACTATGTAGCTTTCCTTGCCTTCAGCTTACCCCTTATAGACATTTCTGACAGTAGCCCCTGATACCATTCATTCATACATTTATTAAGCATCTTCTGTGTGCAAATGAGGTGTTCTAAAAGCTCTGACTCTCCTGGTTGTGTGTGTTCTTATGAACTCTTGGACCCAAGTGAACTTATGGACATTTCCTCCAGGCCACCAGTCAGTCAGAAAGCTAAGACCTGGAAAATGGTAACTGGAAAATGTGAGAAGAAGGGGAAAGCAGTTTGCAGAAGGCCTATAAAGAGAACTCTGTCTGGTGTCCTGTCAGCACTTCTGTTGTTAAAGCACATGGTATATGTGTTATGTCCATTGTTTTCTTCTCTAGTATCGGCTAAGTAACATGTGAAAGCACTTCAGTTTATTTAAAAAGAAGTATGAGTCAGTTAGTGAATATTTCTTGATTTCCTGTGAGTATAAGCTATTTCCTAGACCAGTTGCTAATGAGTGTGCAAGTAGGAATGAGACACAAGTGCTGAGCCCCATCAGGGAGACAAATAGTTTTTACCTTCCATAGTTTAGTATGTTGCCCTTTCCTCGTTATCTAACTAACACTTATACTTTGATTCTCAACAGTTTTTATCTCCCCCACCAGGAGTGTCCCAACTCAGGGCCCGGGGAAGCAGGGGATGGGGATGGGTCAGGCCCACCCAGTTTGTACGACTCCTGCACACTGGAGGAGAGGAGTCACGTGTGCTTTAGGAACAGGGAAGGGGAATGGATTCTATGTAGGCAGCCAACAAATCCTCTCCCTGCCAGGTGTGAGATGAGAGGCTAGACTGAGTGATAACAGTGGAAGTGGAACTCCTTGGTATAACTAATCCCCGAGCTTTGTTGACTAGTTTGTATATACAGTTAGAAAGGGAAGAGGAGGTGTGACTGATTATAGATGGTGTTGTCCTGGGTGTACCATCTGCTTACTCCTGCTTCTCATCCTGGTCAGGTCTGCTTTGCTGTCTCTCTGAAACTTAACATTTTTGACATAATATTTCTTTACTGGAAACAAGTTCTGGGTGTTGGTGGTAGAATATCATAACTGTCAGTGAAGGCTGTCATTATAGGTTTGCACAACAGCTTGGGTTGGTTTGTTTTGGTGTAGACCATAGCCCAGTGGCGTAAAGCTGGATACCAGGACATGCCTGAATATGAAAACTTCAAGCACCTTCTGCAGGCACCATTAGATGATGCTCAAGAAATTCTGCAAGTGCGCTTCCCCATGCCACGCTACATTAACACGGAACATGGAGGCAGTCAGGTGGGTGAACAGAGTTCTGGCTATGATGTTCTGTTTATGATATAATTTTATGGCTATAAATCCAAACAGGGTGGTTAATATTTTATGTGGTAACATAAATTGACATACAGGTAGTCTTCCAAGTATGGCTTTTTAAACATGTGATCAAAATATGTTTATATAAAAGTAGGGGATTGCCAAAATAAAATATATATTTCATGTTTCAGGATCCTTAATAAGACAGAGAGCCAGGGGGCTTAAGCTAAAGAAACAGATTCCTATGCAGTAAAAAAGTTCTAATTTAACTAAAGAAATGTTGTGGAAATTTGTCTTACTTTTTTTATTACATTAATATTAATGTCACTTTTAATCTTTAAACCTTTTTTTTTTTTTTTTTTTTAAGGCTCGATTTCTTTTGTCCAAAGTGAACCCATCTCAGACGCACAATAACCTGTATGCATGGGGACAGGTAAGAAATTGGCAGTTATTTGGGGAGGAGGCCAGTCTACTTTCTTAAAAAACTTGTTTTAAAATCCTACAAATTAAGTCCCTTTTGTCCCAGAGACAGAGTAACTCGGGTCTTTTGCTGGAAAAAAGAAAACTTTGAATAACATAGCTGGGGATGGTGGGCTTCTGTGTGGATTCTCTTCCACAGTACACAGCATAATATACCATTTGGCTGTGGCCTCCATTTGGCTCATATATACAGCAACCTGGTCCCAAGTCCTCTTCCTCTTTTCTCCCAAGAGCACAGGGCAACTCTCACTCACCATTGTTCTGTGTCCTTTTCAGTTTTCAGCTCAATTCCTTTTTATCTAATTATTCTCAGCATTTATGTCTCAGATGAGTCTCTTCTTTTGTCCTGTTTTCTTATAACTTTTTAAAAAATTAAACTTTTATTTTGAGATCATTGAAAATTTACATGCAGTTGTGATAAATAATACAGAGACATCTTTATGCCCTTTACCCATTTTCCCCTGATGGTAGTAACATCTTGCAAACTGTAATACAATATCACAACCAGGATATTGACATTGATATGGTCAAGACATGCAACATTTCAGGAAGAACAAACAAACTAAAAAAGAAAAAAAAGACGTGCAGCATTTCCGTCACCGCACACATCTCTCCTGTTGCCCTTTTGTAGTCATGTCCACTTCCCTCCTGCCTCCACCGCCTCTTTAACACCTGGCAACTGCTAATCTGTTCATCAGTTCTATAATTTTGTCATGAAGAATGTTAAATATATGAAGTCATACAGTATATAACTTTTTGGGATTGGCTTCTGTCCCTCAGCATAATATCTAGAGATTCTTCCAAGTTGTTGCATGTATCCATACGTTTGTGTCTTTTATTTGCTGGGTAGTGTTCCACAGTATAGATGTATTACAGTTTGTTTAATCATTCACCCTCTGAAGGACTTCTGGGTTGTTCACAGTTTCTGGCTATTAGGAATAAAGCTGTAATAAACATTCACATACAGGTTTTTTATGAAGAAAAGTCTTCATTTCTCTGACATAAATGCCCAGGAATACATCTGCTATGTTGTGTGGTAGTTGCATGTTTAGTTTTTTTGAGAAACTGCAAGACTTTTCCAGAGTGGCTACATCCTTTGACTTCCCCACTGGCAAAGTAACAGTGATCCAGTTTCTCTGCATCCTTGTCAGCATTTGGTGTTGTAATTACTTTTATTTTGGCTATTCTGATAGGTGTGTAGTGGTATAAGAGTACTTCAGAAAGTTTTGGAAAAATAGAATTGAAAGTTAATGTGAATCTTTCCAAGAATTTTTTGAAGTACCTTGTATATCACTGTGGTTTTAATTTACATTTTCTTAATGGCTGATGATGTTGAACATCTGTTCATGTGCTTCTCTGCCGTTTGTGTATCTTCTTCAGTGAAATCTCTGTATTTTCCCCATGGTTTAATTGGATTATTTTCTGTTTTTACTGGTAAGTTTTGAGAGTTCTTTACATATTCTAGATGCTAGTCCTTTTTAAGGTATGTGGTTTGTAAATATTTTCTCTCATTTGTCTGTTTATCCTCTTCACAGGGTCTTTCACAGAGCAAGTTTTTAATTTTTAGGAAGTCTACTTTATCAATTTTTCCTTTTGTGGATTGTGCTTTTGGTGTCAAGTCTAAGAATTCTTTACCTATTCCTAGGTCCCCCAAATTTTCTCTTGAATTTTTTTTCCCTGAAATTTTTATAGTTTTACATTTACATTTCAGTCCATGTATTAGTCTGTTTTGTGTTGCAATAACAGAATACACAGAACTGGGTGATTTATAAAGAAAATGCAGTTTATTTGCTTACAGTTTCTGAGGCTGAGAAGTCCAAAGTCCATCTGGTGGTGGTGACAGTGACCCAGGGGTTTCATACTGCAAGATGGTGGAAGCAGAGAGAACAGAGAGAGCAAAAGGCAGACTCTCCTCTTCTTTAAAAGCCCTCAGAACCACGCCCCTGACCACCATTTATAATCCATTCACTACTGCTTGATCCTACAATCCAATCACCTCTTCAAGGCTCCACCTTTCAATTACCATAATAGGATCTCCCACCCTCTTTAACAGTCACAGTTTCTAATACATAAAACTTGGGGGACACAATTCAAGCTTCAGGGAGTTTTGGGGGGATCTAATTCAATCCACTTTAGTCCATAATCCATTTTGAGTTAATTTTTGTATTTGATGATGATGCTTAGATCAAAATTCATTTTTTATATATGGATGTCCAGTTGCTTTAGCACCATTTACTGAAAAGGCAGTCTGCTATTGAATTGCCAAAGATTAGTAGAGTATATTTGTGTGAGTTCATTTCTGTGTTTTCTATTCTGTTCTATTGAGCTATCTATGTTTGTATCCCACCACCAATACTACATAGTCTTGATTATTGTAGCTGTATTGTAAGTGTTGAAATTGAGTAGACAACTCTTTCTACTTTATTCTTCTTTTTTTGAAAATTGTCGGGGCTGGCCCGGTGGCGCACTGCTACAGTGCACCGCTTGGGAGTGTGGCGGCGCTCCTGCCGAGGGTTCGGATCCCACATACAGACCGGCCGCTCACTGGCTGAGCGAGGTGCGGGAGCAACACCGAGGGTTGCGATCCTGTTGCCGGTCCTAGTCCGGTACGGGCGCGACACTGAGGGTTGCGATCCGTTGCCGGTCACGAAAAAAGACAAAAAGGAAAAAAAAAAAAGAAAATTGTCTTATTCTAGTTCTTTTGCTTTTCCATATATAATCCTGTCTATATCTCTGAAAAATCTGTCTGGAGTTTCTATAAGAATTACATTAAACCTATATGTCAGTTTGGGAAGAATTGACATCTTTACTATGTTGAGCCTTTTGATTCATGAACTTGGTGTGTTTCTCCGTGTATTAAATCTGTTTTGATGTCTTTCATCAGTATTGTATACCGTCACTTAAAAAAAAAATTATAAAGGAACAGAATTTATTTCTTACAGCTTTAGAAGCTGGGAAGTCCACAGTCCAGAAGGCTCATCTGGTAAGAGCCTGTTCTTGGTGGTGACTACAGCTCACGCAGGGTGTCACATGGCACAAATGGCTAAGCAAGAGCTCACTTTTTTTTTTGAGTGATCATAATTGTGATTTTTTTTTGAGTGATCATAAAAAAATTAAATTAACTCAGTGTCCAAGTGTTCATTGCTAGTATGTAGAAATACAATTGATTTTTGTATATTCATTTTGTGTTATGTGACCTTCCTGAGTCACTTGTTACTTCTAGGAAATTTTTTTGTAGATTCCTTATAATTTTCTACATAGATAATCATTGTTGTCTGTAAGTAGGGACAGTTTTATTTCTTCCTTTCCAATCTGAATGCCTTTTATTTCTTTTTCTTGTCTTATTGCACTGGGAAGTACTTCTGGCATTATGCTGAATAAGAGTGGTGAAAAGGGACCTTCTTGTCTAGTTCCCAATCTAGGAAACTGTTCAGTCTTGCACCTTTAAGTACAATGGTAGCTGTAGGTTTTTTGTAGATGCTCTTTATCAAGTTGAGGAATGTCTCCTCTATTGCTGTTTTTCAGAGATTTTTAAATAGCGAATGTTGAAGTTTTCTTTAATCTGAGATTTTTAAAATCATGAGTGTTGCATGTTGTCATGTTTTTTATGTGTTCATTGATATAATGTGATTTTTCTTTTTTAGCCTCTTAATATGGTGGATTGCATTGATTTTTAGAATATTAAACCAACCTTGTATTCCTGGAATAAACCTCGCTTGGTCAGGATGTACAGTGTATTGCTGAATTCTGTTTGCTGATATCTTGGTTGAGGATTTTTGCATCTGTATTTATGAGGAATATTGTTCTACTATCTTTGGTTTGGTATCAGGTTAATTACTAGCTTTATAAAATGAATTGGGAAATGTTCTCTTCTGTGTCTGGATGAGATTGTGTAGAACTGGAGTTAATTCTTTAAACATTTGGTGGAATTCTCCAGTGAAACCATCTGAGCCTGGAGATTTCTGTTTCAGTAATTTTTAGATAACTATTTAAATTTCCTTAACAGTTATAGGGCAGTTCAGATTACCTGTTTCATATTGGATAAGTTGTGGCAGTTGTGTTTTTTGAGGAATTGGTCCATTTTGTTTAAGCTGTCAGACTGTGTGTATAAAAGTTGCTTGTAGTACTCCCTTATCCTCTAGATGTCGATAGAGTCTCTATTGATATCCCCTGTTATTCCTGATATATTTGTCTCCTGTCTTTTTCTTTTTTCTCTTTTTCTTTGTTAATCTTGCTAGAGGTTTGGTAATTTTATTGATCTTCTCAAAGAACCAGCTCTTTTTTTTTTTTTGACAGCTGACCTTGGTGTTGTAACACCGTGCTGACTGTAACACCTGAGCTAACTAGCCAGCCCTGATTTCATTGACTTTCCTCTACTGTTTTTTTTATAAAAAACAGTATGCTGGTCATTATTATTTCATTCCTTCTGTTTGCTTTAGGGTTTTTGGTTTTGTTTTGTTTTTTTAAACTCATTTTCTAGGTTCTTGAGGTGGGAGCTTAAATTATTAATTTGAGACTTTTCCTTCTTTTCTAATAAATGCATTTATTACTATTACACTCTAAGCACTATTTTAGCTGTGTTCCACAAGTTTTGATATAAATGTGTTTTTTTTTTTTTTTTTTACTGACCGGTAACGGGATCGCAACCCTCGGTGTCGCGCCCGTACTGGGGACCGGCAACGGGATCGCAACCCTTGGTGTTGCGCCCGCACCACGCTCAGCCAGTGAGCGGGAACCGGTCTCCACATGGGATCCAAACCCTCGGCGGGAGCGCCGCCGCGCTCCCAAGTGGCGCACTCTCCAGTGCGCCACTGGGCCGGCCCTAAATGTGTTGTTTAGTTTCCAAGTACTTGGAGATTTTCTTGTTATCTGTTATTGATTTCTGTTTTGATTCCATTGTGGTTGGAGAACACATTTTGTGTGATTTAAATTTGTTGAGGTTTGTTTAATGGCCCAGAATATGGTCACTTGAAAAGAACGTGTATTCTCCTGCTGTTGGATGGAGTATTTTATAAATGTCAGTTAGATCTTGTTAGTTGGTAGAGTTGTTGAATTCTTATATATCCTTGCTGATTATCTAATTCTATCAATTTTTTGAGTGAGAGTGTTGAAGTTTTTAACTAATTGTGGATATATCTATTTCTCTTTTCAGTTCTCTCTTTTTTTCTTTTTTTCCAATTTTGTAGTTCCACTTGGTGCATATACATTTAGGATTTTTATGTCTTGTTGGTGTTGGTGGATTGGCCTTTTTATCATTATATAATGTCCCTCTCTGTCTCTGGTAATTTTCTTTGCACTGTTGTCTACTTTATCTGATATTAATAAAACCACTTTTTCTTTCCTTTGATAAATGCTTGCATGATATCTCTCTTTCAGTCCTTTGAATTTATGCCTGCTTCTATCAGTATACTGAAAGCGAATTTGTTGTAGAAAATATATAGTTGGGCCATGTTTTTTTAGCACACTCTGTTAAGCTCTCTAAGTTGGTGTATTTAAGCTATTTATTTATTGTTTTATTTCTTTGAGTCTGTGCTCAATGATGCTTTGCCAGCTTTTTCTGCTCCAATTTGAGGTGTATGTGACAAAAACAAAACCCAAGGAACTCACCAGTGTGTGTGTTATTCCTTGGGTCCCAAGGTCGCTGGTTTGTCTGCTGTCTTCTCTTCACTTTTCAAAGTCTTCTTATGTTTGGTTTATATAAAATATACAGGGTTTTCAATTGTACTAAGTTGTGTACTAGTTTTAGTTGTACTAAGTTGTTTACTAAATAGTGGGAGGGATAGAGAAAAGTATATCTTCTACTCCTTCTTTCTGGAACTGGAAGTTCTCTTATAACATTTTGATCATGCTTACATTTCTTCTAATTGTAACAGTACAGTTTCATTTCAGAAAATTTGAATGTTCTTTAAAAAAGAGTAAGAAAATTGCCTACAGCCACTATCTAGTTACCTTTTTGTTTCTAGGTAACATAAAGTGTATGTATCATGTATATATAAATTTATTACTTTATTTCTTTACAAATTGAGGTCTCTTTTCAGTTCTTTTCCCACAACATTAATTAAATCATAAGCATTTTCTGATATTATAAAATCCATCTGTTCAGGGAATGTAGTGACTCACTCATTTGTGAATACACCATTATCAAGCTTCTGTTGTAAGCAGAGCACTTCAGAGCGAGGGCTAGTGCTGGCAGAGTAGCGGGGAACATGCAGGGAGGGGGCGTAGGCCTCAGAGTGCTCACCTGTGGGGAGCTAGACCCTGGGCGAGCCATCAGAACTTTGGAGAGGGGTAAAGTAGAAGGGCATATGCTCAACACCATGTCTGTAGCAGTCAGGGATGGCCTGATCTCAGAGGATCAGGACAGGGTTTTGTGAGGAAACTGTGCTCCAGTTGAAAGAAATAGTTAGCTAGGCAGAGGATGGGAGTAATGGAGAGTTCTCATAGCAGAGGGGACAACACCTGCGAATGTTCTAAATTCTAACCAGCTTTTAAGACATCTGCCAACTAATGTTTATCACTAAATTTCAGGAAACTGGAGCGCCCATCCTAACTGATGACGTCAGCCTGCAGGTATTCATGGATCACCTGAAGAAGCTGGCTGTCTCCAGTGCCTGCTAATCTGAGGATGTGACCAGGAAATTGAAGAAAACACTGTCAGATCATGCTCACAATTGTTTATAAAGGCTTATTAGTAACATTCCTTTCACTTTTCTGGCAGATTTTAATAAATAATCAAAGGGAATTTTGTATGTAACTCTTTAGATTATAATTTATTTGTATTTCTTATCTGTGCTCTTTTTCTTGCACCATAAAATTATAAGGTCATAAATGTTTTGGTACTTGTAGATGTTTATTGCTTTTTTATCCTAACTTTTATAGTCTAAATAAAATCAGAGGTAATGTATTTTGGCAACGTTTTCAATGAAAATCTTTGTAATCATAGAAGAAATAAATCTGGATGAGGAAAGTACTGGCTAAAATAATGCTAATACAGATTTGGTTTCCTGAGGTCTCTGTGTGTGTGTGTGTGTGTGTGTGTGTGAGAGAGAGAGAGAGAGAGAGAGAGAGAGAGAGAGAGAGAGAGAGAGAGAGTGTGTGTGTGTGTGTGTGTGTGTGGTTTTCAGTGACTCACTTGAGAGGTATTTCTAAATGTTAACAGACCAAAGAAAAGTATAAAATGTGTGAAACTCTATTGAGGCAGAGTGGTTTGGAGTGGCCCTGTTCCTGAATCATAATGTGTAACATTCCGTGTAAACAGTCCAGCCCAGGTGGGCATAAATTAGAGTGGCTGATGGGCATAAGTGCTTCCAACAGAATGACGACACATTTATCTTGGGCATCAAGTAGAATAACTTGAACAGGTACTGTTTTTAGTCAAAGTAATATTTATGCATGGTCAAAACAAAATAAACACCTTATCCTGAAGAGTTTATAATAACAGTGGTTCTGTTTACAGTGGTTCTGTGCCTAAAACTTGATCTACTCTTCACAGGGAACTTCTTTTAACCTTTCTTTACAAGTTTTTTGTTGCTGATATATTCAGTTTTAGCCAGTATCTCTCGATTCCCATTTTCATAGAATGAGGATATTTGGACTTTTCTCTCCACCCTCCAGTTTTGGTCAGCTATACCTTTATTTTTATATTATCACGATTGGTAAAATTTATATTCTGGCCTATAACCATACTTATATTTTTTGTTACTAAGTTGATTGTGAAAGCTGAAAGCTAATAAAGGGCATTTATACAATTGTGATGATGCAAATATTGTTCATGTTTGAGTCAAGTAGTATTACAGGCATACCTTGGTTCCAGACCGCTGCAGTACAGCGAACACCACAATAAAGCCAGTCACACAAACTTCTTGGTTTCCTAGTGCGCATTCAAGTTATATTTACACTATACTGTAGTCTGTTAAGTGTGCGATAGCATTATGTCTAAAAAAAAGCAATGTACAAACCTTAATTAAAAAATACTTTATTGCTAAAAAATGCTAATGATCATATGAGTTTTCAGTGAGTCATAATCTTTTTGCTGGTGGAGTGTCTTGCCTCCATGTTGATGGCTGCTGACTGATCAGAGTGGTGGGTGCTGAAGGTTGGGGTGACTCTGGCAGTTTCTTAAAATAAGAGAACAATGATGTTTGTTGTGTCAATCAACTCTTCCTTTCACAAAAGATTTCTCTGTAGCATGTGATGCTGTTGATAGCATTTTACCTACAGTAGAACTTCTATCAAAATTGGGCTCAATCCTCTCAAGCCCTGCCGCTGCTTTAGTGACTAAGTTTGTGTAATATTCTAAATCCTTTGCTGTAATTTCGACAGCATTCACAGCATCTTCCTCCGGAGTAGCTTCTATCTCAAATCATTTTCTTTATCTGTAAGAAGCAATTCCTTATTTGTTAAAGCTTTATCATGAGATTGCAGCAATTCAGTCACATCTTCATGCTTCTGCTTCTCATTCCAATTCTCTTGCTATTTCCACCACACCTGTAGTTGCTTCCTCCATGAAGTCTTGAACCCCCCAAAATCATTAAGGTTGGAATCAGCGTCTTCCAACCTCCTGTTAATATTGATGTTTTGACGTCCTGTGAATCACAAATGTTTTTAGTGGCATCTAGAATGGTGAATCCTTCCCAGAAGGTTTTCAATGTAGTTTGCCCAGATTCATCAGAGGAATCACTTATCCATGGCAGTGATAACTTTACGAGATGTATTTCTTAAATAATAAGACTTGAGGGGCTGGCCGGTTATCTCATGGTTGCAGCATGGTGCTGATAACACCAAGATCAACGGTTTGGATCCCTGTACTTGCCAGCTGCCAAAAAATAAATAAAAGACTTGAAAGTCAGAATTACTCCTTGATTCATGGGCTGCAGAATGGGTGTGGTGTTAGCAGACATGAAACCAACATTACTCTTGTACATCTCCATCAGAACTCTTGGGTGACCAGGTGCGTTGTCAATGAACAGTAATACCTTAAAAGGAAATCTTATTTTCTGAACAGTAGGTCTCAACAGTGGTCTTAAAATATTTAGAAAACCATGCTGTAAACAGATGTGCTGTCATCAGGCTTTATTGTTCCTTGTATAGAGCACAGGCAGAGTAGATTTAGCATAATTCTTAAGGGCCCTAGGATTTTTGAAGCGATAAATGAGCCTTGACTTCAACTTAAAGTCACCAGTTACATTAGCCCCCAATAAGAGTCAGCCTGTCCTTAGAAACTTTGAACCTGCCACTGCTCTCTAGTTATGAAAGTCCTAGATGGCATCTTTTTCCAATATCAGGCTGTTTTGTCTACCTTGAAGATCTGTTGTTTAGTTTAGCCACCTTTGTCCATTACTGCAGCCAGATCTGGATAACTTGCCGCAGTTTCTACATCAGCACTTGCTGCTTCACTTTGCATGTTGTTATGGAGATGGCTTCTGTCCTTAAACCTACCTCTGCTAGCTTCAGACTTTTCTGCAGCTTCCTCACCTCTCTCAGCCTTCACAGAATTGAAGAGAGGGCCTTGCTCAGGATGAGGCTTTGACTTAGGAAATGTTGTGGGTGGTCTGATCTTCTGTCCAAACCACTGAAACATTCTCCACATCAGTAGTAAGGCTGTTTTGCTTCCTTATTCTTGTGTTCACTGGAGCAGAACTTTTAATTTCCTTTGCGTTCCCGCTTGGCTAACTTTTTGGCGCAAGAGGACTAGCTTTCGGCCTTCTCGGCTTTCAACACACCTTTCTCACTAAGCTTGATCATTGCTAGCTTTTAATTTAAAGAGAGATGTGTGACTCTTCCTTTTCACTTGAACACCTAGAGATCATCGTAGGGTTATTAATTGGCCTAATTTCAATATTGTTGTGTCTCAGGGAATAAGGAGGCCTGAGGAGAGGGAGAGAGATGGGAGAACAGCCAGTTGGTGGAGAATTCAGAACACACTCAAAATTTACCAGTTAGGTTCGCTGTCTCATACACGAATGGTTCATGTCCCCCAAAACAATTAAAATTATAACGTCAAAGATCTCTGATCACAGGTCCCCATAACAAAGTTTGAAATATTGTGAGAATTATCAAAATATGACACGGAGACATGAAGTGAGCACATGCTGTTGGAAAAAATGGTGCCGATAGACTTCCTTGATGTAGGGTTGCTGCAAAGATTCAATTTGTAAAAAATGTGATATCTGCAAAGTGCAGTAAAGCAAAGCACAATGAAAGGAGGTATGCCTGTACATTTTTCTCCAGGTGTTTGGTGTCCCAGTCAGTCCTGATGCAACTTTAAAGAAAACATTCCAAATGACAGCACCAGAGTCACTTTTCTTTCATTCCATTATGCCACATGTTGGCCTGCTTCCTATTTATTTATTTATTTTTATTTATTTTATTTTTTCCTTTTTGTCTTTTTTACTGACTGGTAACGGGATCGCAACCCTCGGTGTCACGCCCGTACCGGGGACTGGCAACGGGATCGCAACCCTCAGTGTTGCGCCCGCACCGTGCTCAGCCAGTGAGCGGGAACCGGTCTCCACATGGGATCCGAACCCTCGGCGGGAGCGCTGCCGCACTCCCAAGCCGCGCACTCTCCAGTGCGCCACTGGGCCGGCCCTATTTTCTGCTTCCTATTTAGATTATGATTTCCTAGATTTGCTATTGTTTGCCCGTGAGTATCTAGTTTTTGTCTGCTTTTAGAGAGAAGAAATATTTTGTTCTCTATTTACTAAGAAATTCCAGCTTCTTTTGCATGAAGTTTATTCTTCTTTTGAGTTTAATGGAGAAAAATGTCTGTGTGACACATTATGCAGGTCTTATGGTTACATTTTCTGCAAAGCTAATGCTTTGATCAGGTACAGAATGAAGCATGAGGTATGGAAAGCCAACCTGACCACCAACCAAGTCTCATCAGATGTTCCCACCCAACTTATTCTTTGGGTTATTCTCCAGTTCTCTAGACCAGCCTTTTGTAAACTGTTTTTTTCCTTTTGTGTTAATTTAAGACATACCAGTATATTCTAATCTTCGAAATGGCAACTATACAATTGACTCACTCATACATTTCACTGAATGCATTTATGTTTGTGCTTCGTGCTCACATTTGGCTGCATGTTTTGCTACTTTTATTATTAGTTGAAAAAAAGGGAAGACAATACATTTCCCTAATTAAGAGCAAATTAAGTTACATCACATGGGACAAAAGAAGATTCCACAGAGAAGTGCAGAGGGTGACCTGAGTCACCATGGGGGACAGGGAACACAGGCATCTGCACCCAGCTGTCACCCCATGTCACAGCACAGCACATTCCTGCTGATTGGAATGCCATTGGTGTTAGTATGTGTCTACTCTAAAGCAGGAACTTTGCTAAACTCTGGGAATCTAAAGATAAATAAGGCTCAGTTTAGGTCCACCCCTAAAGTCAACTATAAAATAACCACAGGCAGCATTATCAAGGCTTTCCATAAAAAGCAGTCCTACTTGAACAGCTATTTAAAGGACTGAAAAAGTCATGTTCAGTTTGCTAGGCTTTTACAAGATGTCATGCTGATGGTGACTTCAGTCAGGGATAAGCAACACTTAAACTATATGCACACCCATCTGCACCCCAATCCTGCCCTTGAGGTCCAGGCTAACAGGAGAAAGTGCAGAAACCTGGCTTCAAAGGGAGGCTGGAGCCAGCAGTATGACACGCTACTGGTGTTTGTGTTTCCCAGACAGCTCTGGAGAAAGGAGTCAATGCACCTGCAGATCACCCTCTCCACTCAGTAAGCAGTGCTTTCTTTGCTTTATTAATATGCAGAAGGCTGCCTTTTTGAGAAAACTCTGCTCACAGTGAACAGGGAAGTGACAACCTCTCCTTAGTCCCTGGATTAGATAACATTGTCTAAGTTTTTCTTATTTCCACGGTGGTTTAAACTTTACCAGCACCATTGCTCATCCCTTAAACCCTTCCCCTAATATCCCAGCACAGCAACAGGATACAGGAACCCACAGTACCTGGCCCTGGAATAATCCA